TTTGTTCCAGTTCCTGTTGAGACGCCAAGTAATTTGAGTTTGTTTAGGGAAAAGCGAGATTTTTGGGATCTCTGCTATTATTGTGGGCCTGATAGCCACCGCCGCGGTTACTGCTTCGGTTACCGCCTCGGCCCTTGCACTTTCTGCCACTGTGCAGACAACTCAAACCATTAATGAACTATAGGCCACTGTGACCATGGTCCTAGATAAACAGGCCACTGCCAATTCTCAGATACAAGGAGGCCTGATGTTGGTAAACCAACAGATTAATTTGGTTCAGGAACAATTGGATATATTGTGGCAGATGGCCCAATTGGGATGTGAACAAAAGTTGCCTGGCCTTTGTGTCACTTCAGTACAATATGAGAATTTTACAAGAGCAGCTAACCTGTCACAAGCTCTGTCTCAACATTTATTACAGAATTGGACTTTTGAGTTTGAGCAGACACTCCGTGAGTTGAGAATGGCGATCCTGCAAGTGAATTCGACGCATCTGGATCTTTCTCTGATGGAAGGCCTCTCCTCCTGGATTTCATCTGCATTTTCTTATTTTAAGGAATGGGTGGGGGTAGGATCATTTAGCCTAGTTCTCTGCTGTGGAATAGTGTTGATGCTTTGGATGGTGTGTAAGCTCAGAGCCCAAACAAAAGAGACAAAGTGGTGGTGGCACAAGCACTTGCTGCCTTAGAACACGGAGCCTCCCCTGACATTTGGTTAACCATGTTAAAGCAATAGGTCGCTGGCCTCCCAGCTCTTGCACCCCACGAGGCTAGTCTCATTGCACGGGATAGAGTGGGTAGGCTTCAGCAGCCCAAGGAGTTGCAAGGCTAAGCACTGCACAGGAGAGGTCTGCGGTATAACGACTTTCTCCTGGGAGATAAGTCATCTTGCATGAAGGTTCTATGTCATGATCTCCTTCCCCCAGAAAAACGACATCGGACTGGTCGGGGCTCTCTCTGGGGATAAGACCCTGGAGAGGAGCTTTGTACATGTTCCGAATTTGCACATGGGGATTTGACCTCTATCTCCACTCCAAAGTTGTGGGTGTCCTATTGCTTCAAAAATAAATGAATAGGGGGAGATGTGAGGAGCCGCCCTCGCTATCGCTATTGCCGTTAGAAGATGGCGCTGACATCTGCTGTCAGTTGGAGTTAACCGTTAGAAGATGGCGCTGACATCTGCTGTCAGTTGGAGTTAACCGTTTAAGCTGTGCCTCTCCCGTGGTGTCATCTGGGGTGATGTGCAAACCACCAATCCCGGCTCTACACGTCTCACTCGGAGCTCCTAGGCTTATATAAGGGGCTGGGTTTCTTAGCTTGGGGTCTCCCTCTAAGAAGCTGATCATCTATCTCTCAAGATGCATTAAAGCTTTACTGCAGAAGGATCCGAGTGTTCTGCGTTGTTCTTGCTGGCGAGACGGTAGCGCGGGACATGTGAGCATACAATTCTTTTTTTCTAAATTTTTATTTATATATTATTACTGTGTATGGAGAGAGAGAGAGAGAGAGAGAGAGAGAGAGAGAGATCTGTCAGAAGACAACTTTCTGTTCTAGAGTCACTTCTCTTCATCTTCCAAGTTCCAAGGATCTAGCTCAGGTCATGAGGGTTTCACAACAAGTGCTTTACCCACTGGCCTATAAGTATGTATTTTCTAAATAAGAGAAATACTACAAAGTTATCTTCAAAGACGATTACATCAATTTATCAGTAACCAACTGAAAAATTTCCATTTACAGTAAAAATTTCTTAATGCAACTAGGAAGTTTGAAACAAACTTCCTGTAGACTGTCTCAACAAGGAAGCTTTCTTAACATCTGTTTCCACATCACTTCTTAACTATTCAGATTATCTTGCCCTATGTTAATATACCCCTATCTTTTTCTTTCTTTTTTATTTTAATTTTAAATAGCTTGTTTTACATGTCAATCCCAGTTCCCTCTCCCTCCCCTCCTCCCGCACTCCCCACCAGGCCCCCCAGCCTCCTACTCTATCCCCATTTCCTTCCACATAGGGGATATCTAGAGTCTGTCATTTCACTCAGGGCAGGGTCCAGGCACTCCCCTAAGAGTCCAGGCTGAGAGAGCATCCCTCTTTGTGTTATGGACACACAATGTTTGTTTGTATGCCAGGGATAAGCACTGATCCACTGCCCAGGGCCCCATAGGTTGCCCAGGCCTCCTCACTGACTCTCACACTCAGGGGGTCTGGATCAGTCCCATGCTCTTAAGTGTGGCTCAGAAACCTCTAGAACACCACGGGAGCACTCTGTGAACACCCTGTCAGCGGGGCTTCTGGAACTCTGGTCTTCAGATTCAAAATGCTGGCGCTAGGAATCCTTACCATACTATTTTCACACTCTGAATTCTAAAGAAACACCCTTCTTTTCTCATGTATACAACTTTCATAGTCAAGTCTTTTCTGTTAGTGTTATTGGGGTTTTTTGTTTTGTTTTGAGTCAGGGTCTCTATGTAGCCCTGGCTCTCCTGGAACTTGCTATGTTGATTGCAGACTACACAGGCCTCCCTCTAACAGATCTACCTGCCTCTGCCTCAAAAGGGATGGAATCAAAGGCATGCACATCCAGCTAAGAAATTTTATCTTAAAGGAACAAGAACCTGTTGGAATTTATTAACAATAAGTTGGAAACAGGACAGAAATCTGACATCTCCAGATAAAGTACTTTACATGTGACTATCTGTGCTCTTTTCTATATAAACCACAGAAACTACTATTATTGTAGGTTCCAATGTGCTTCAAATAAAATACAACATCATATTATTAAAATGTCATATTCCTTTGGGGAACTTTCACATATTTCTGTATGTTTGATTGATTTCTATATGAAAACATGCCTGCCTTCCACCCTTCGTAACTCATAAGGAGTGTATCTCTTTTGTTTGTAACCATCTCTGAAGTTATATAAGTCATGTACCCCATAAAGCTATATATATATATATATATATATATATATATATATATATAATTCACACCCTCATCCCAACTGAGTACTGTTGTTCATTGGTTCCTCTCAGTTTTGCATGAGAATGTAGAACTTTTTCCATCATTAACACATCATAACCATTTTCCTCTTAAGTGTCCATTAACAATATGACCTCCTAAAACACTCTGAATAGAGCCAGTGTGGGGCTCTGCAGGGAAAGGTGCTTGCTGTCACACCTAAAGATCTGACTTCCATCTCTGCAACTCACATGGTAGGAGAGAACCAACTCCTGAAAGTTGTCCTCTAACCTCCATATGTACAACAAGGCACACTTGCACACACAAAATATATAAAGAAATGCAACTTGGAATTTTTTAAACAAGACCCCAGAATAGTCTATTATATGGCCTTAGCTGAATTATTTATTTCAAACTTATTGCACATTTTGGTGATCTTTAATTTTGTGCTACCATGACTGATGATGACATGATGGCCTTCCCTGAATGTGTATTTTTCTATGTAGTTCTGATTATCTTCTCAACGTGAATGTCTAATGTAGTTCACATATTAAAATTTTAAGGTAATAATTCAGATTTTAAATCAAGTCTGAAGATTATAAGCCTGAAAAAGGCAGTGACAAAAAACAAATTACAAATAGCAGTTAGAAGCTTCCTGGGTTTTCCCCACAAACTCAAGATGTTGTGCTTCCTATAAAGTTGTTGCAATTGTTGTGATATGACAGAGATTTTACAATTCTTTCATAATCAATATAGCTAGAGCACAGGCAGTGACAACGAATGCCAGCTTTAGTGAACCATGGCCTCAATACTCAGTGACCAGTGGCCCTGGCCACAACCACAGCTGACATTATAAGTGAACCCTGACACACCTGAGGTAGTTAATGAATCAGTGCCTGCATTTGGTTTGTTCCCAGAGAAGATTGATTTTACATCATATCTCATGCCATGGGTACCTAGGCTTAATGAATCAACTCTGCTGTGGCACACTAACTGCCAGCCCTAATGTGGAGCACTTGAGGGAATTGCAACTGAGGCAGTTGGGGGAAGGGTGGTTATCCTAAACCTTCCCTGTGATTTGAAATCTCCCCAAGTAAACAAATGATCACGTTGAAAAACTTCAGAATCCTGAACACCCTGATTTTTCCATTGTGCGTTGTATACAATGTAATAAATTATCCTATGATACCTTACAAATAGAAAATACTTAAGAAATATAGTGCCGTATCAGTAAAGAGACAAGAAGAGTTGCTCAATACTGCTCGGTCCAAAGCAACTGGGTGACAGGTTTATCTCAGAAGCTAATCATTTTGAGGCAGGATGTTGGTGTGAGGAAACAGCTAGCCTTCCATTCTTCCTTGTTTTACATTTTCCCCAAATTTCCTTTCACCCCCTGTTGCTGCTGTTTCCCTTTAAATGACTGCCCATTTCTCCTTCAGAATTCCTTGTTCTCTTTTTTGAGAAGGGTCTCTCTAAACTAGATATCCTGTAGCCTCAATTTGCCAAGTGCTCTAGCAGGCTCTAAATTATAGGCACATATCATTACCTCTGGCATAGTCTTTGATTCTCTTTTCTTCAGTTGGAGCTTTAATCAAAATCTCAATACATTTAGTATCCTTTGCCAGCATAAAATTTGGGGTTATTTTACACAGTAATAGTATTAATTGTAGTCATCAACTGACCGTTAGTGTTTACCCATTCAGCTGTTAATGTCCTTTATTTCAAATGTTCCTGTCTTAGTGTCACTTAAGTTACTGAGAATCAAGTATTTTCAAGTATTAACAGATGTAACTACTGATTATATAGTATCATTATGCCTCAAATCATGCAAACATCAACAAACATTAACTATACATTTTCCACATTATCATTATTGAAATGAATCTCCCTTCTAGATCAAATCAAACTCTCACCACCCTGTTATTAGAACACCACGAATTGAGTCTCTAACAATGACCGGTGCACAGCCATCCTCGCTGGTGATGTTTAACCATACTGAAAGGACTGTATTTTATTTGCTGTTTTGCTATTTGTGTACAAACCTGAAGAGATAATTTCTCTTGGTGTCAGAACTGTCACATAGGATATGTTAGCCAGTAAATACACCGCAGTTATTAGAGGCAGCGCTGTAAATATGCATCGAGGAATTGTTTTGTTGGGTTTCTTCAGCTCCCCTATAATGCATAAAAAGAGCAACATCAGACTTGAGAAAATATTATTTCTTAAACTTATCTTTAAAATTGTGCATGTGTCAAGTATTGGACTTCATTCTTTCTATTCACTCTGCTACCACACGCACATCCACTCCGAAGCAAACTACTGCACATTGATCCATTTCTTATGACACAAGAGTCTGAACTCACACTTCCTGTTCCATTTGCAACCTTCCCCAATCTCCATGCTCCTTGAGTAGAAAATAGGCTCTGCATTTAAATACTAGGAATATAATGTTGAAAAAGAGGAGTTCCACATTAATCAATCACATAGACAAAAGTGAATATCATGAGTGTGGTAAGTGACTATATGAGCAGAAACACATGCTGTAAGGAAAGGTCATGTGATAGTGTGATGGACCCTTTTACTATTTCTGTGGAATTGGTAGCCTGGCCTTTTAAAAACATATCCTTCTGGCAGAGGGACCTGGAGGCAGAATAAAGCAGGCACCATCATCTCCCACCACTCTGACCTTGCCCCTCTACCTTCCAGTAGAGAGGCCTCTTGCAGTCCACCTCCCCCTCCTTGACTCCCCTGACCAGCAGCAACAGGATCCCTCCTGCCACCAAACCCTGAAGAAGGACCTGGAAGCAGAAGAAAGCATCTATCATCATCGACCACAATTCTTGGCTTGCCCTTCCACCTTCCAGGAGAGACAGAGAGAGAGAGAGAGAGAGAGAGAGAGAGAGAGAGAGAGAGAGAGAGAGAGAGAGAGAGAGGATAAAGCCTTGAACCCATACTCACCAGGAGAGGGAGAGACTCCCCCATATACCCATTGGAAGAAGAGATGGGAAGAAGACAGTATAAGAACACATCCAACAACAAGAAAAAACACCTATATGACCACCAGAGTCAACCGGACCATCCCAGCACAGATTAAACAGAAGAGAATGACATTAAAAATAACCTCAAGATAATGATAGAGGCCCTCAAAGACGATATGAGAAAATCCCTTTAAAAAATGGGATTATTAACAAACCAAAAAATGCAAGAAATCCACAAATCTCTTAAAGAAAGCAAGGAGAGCCAAAAAAATCAGATGTAGGAAACAATTCAAAGAGTTCAAGACCTGAAAACTAAAATAGAGACATTAAAAAAAACACACACACAAACTGAGGTAAGGCTGGAAATAGAAAAGCTGAATAAACAGTCAGGAACAACAGACGCAAGTATAACTAACAGAATACAAGAGATGAAATACAGAATCTCAGGTGCTGAAGATAAACTGGAGGAAATAGATTCATTGACAAAAGAAAGTCTTAAATCCAACAAATCCTTAACACAAAATATCCAGGAAGAAGAATAATAGGTATAGAAGAAAACAAAGACACCCAGCTCAATGGTGCAGAAAACATATTCAACAAAATCATAGAAGAAAACTTTCCCAACCTAAAGAAAGACATGCCTATGAAAGTACAAGAAGCTTACCGAACACCAAATAGACTGGACCAAAACAAAAAGTCCCCTCACACATAATAATCAAAACACCAAACATCAGAATAAAGAAAGAATATTAAGAGCAGCTAAGGAAAAAGGTCAAGTAACATATAAAGGCAAACCTATCAGAATTACACCTGACTTCTCCATGGAAACTCTGAAAGCAAGAAGGTCCTGGATAGATGTTCTACAAACATTAAGAAACCATAGATTCCAGCAAAACTCTCAATTACCATAGACAGAGAAAACAAGATATTCCATGACAAAACCAGACTTGCACAACATGTATCCACAAATGCAGTTCTACAGAAAGTTCTGGAAGGAAAACTGGAATCCAAGGAAGTTAACTACACTCACAATAACATGGGCAATAGATAATCTTACTTTACCAGAAGCCAGAAATAGGGGAAAAACTCACACACAGTACCACTACCAAAAAACGGATCCATAACAAACAAGAATCAACAATCAATGGTCATTAATATCCCTGAATATCAATGGTCTTAACTCACCTATAAAAAGACACAGGCTAACAGAATGGATACAAAGACAGAACCCATCTTCTGCTGCATACAAGAAACACACCTCAATTTCAAAGATAGACATTACCTCTGAGTTAAGGGTTGGGAAAAGATTTTCCAATCAAATGGACATAAGAAGCAAGTGGGTGTAGCTATCCTAATACCTAACAAAATAGACTTCAAACTAAGATTAATCAAAAGAGATGAAAAAGGTCATTTCATATTCATCATAGGAAAAATCCGTCAGGATGAAGTCTCAATTCTGAACATCTATGCCCCAAACACAAAGGCACCCACATTCATAAAAGAAACATAACTAGAACTCAAATCACACATTAAACCCCACATACTTATAGTGGAAGACTTCAACACCCTACTCTCACTACTGGACAGGTTCACCAGACAGAAACTTAACAAAGAAACAAAGGAACTAACAGAAGTTTTGACCAAATTGGGTTTAACAGGCATCTATAGAACATTCCATCCAAACACAAAAGAATATACCTTGTCCTCAGCGCTACATGGAATCTTCTCTAAAATTAACCACATACATGGCAACATAACAAACCTCAATAAGTACAAAAAATTTGAAATAATCCTCTGTATCTTAATGGACCACCATGGCTTAAAATTAGAATTCAACATCAACACAAATTGAAGAAACCCCACAAACTCATGGAAACTGAACAATGTTCAATTGCATCACTCCTGGGTAAAGGAAGAAATAAAGAAAGAAATCAAAGACTTCCTAGAAGTCAATGAAAATGAAGGCACTACATACCCAAACCTATGGGACACTCTGAGAGCAGTTCTAAGAGGAGAGTTCATAGCACTAAGTGCCCACATGAAGAAAATGGAGAATAGCCACACTAGAGAATTAACAGAACACCTGAAAGCTCTAGAACAAAGAGAAGCAAACTGACCCAGGAGGAGTACATGCCAGGAAATAATCAAATTGAGAGCTGAAATCAATAAAGTGAAACAAAGAAAACAATGCAAAGAATCAATGAAACAAAGAGTTGGTTCTTTGAGAAAATCAGCAAGATAGACAAATCTTTATCCAACCTAACTAAAAGACAAAGAGAGAACATGATAATTAAAATCAGAAATGAAAAGGACATAGCAACAGACATTGGGGATATCCAGAGAATCATCAGGTCATATTTTGAAAACCTGTACTCCACAAAATTTGAAAATTTAAAGGAAATGGAGTATTTTCTGGATAGATATCACTTACCAAAATTAAATCAAGAACAGAAAACAATTCAAATAGCTCTATAACCCTAAAGAAATAGAAGCAGCCATAAAAAGTCTTCCAGCCAAAAAAAAAGTCCAGGGACAGATGACTTCAGTGCAGAATTCTACCAGAAATTCAAGGAAGAGCTAATATCAATACTCTTCAAATTGTTCGGCACAATAGAAGCCGAAGGATCACTGCCAAACTCTTTTTATGAGGCTACAATTACGTTAATACCCAAACCACACAAAGATACAACCAAGATAGGGAACTACAGCTCAATCTCCTTCATGAACATTGATTCAAAAATACTCAATAAAATACTAGCAAAATGAATCCAAGAACACATCAGAAAAATCATCTACCATGATCAAGTAGGTTTCATCCCAGAGATGCAGAGATGGTTCAACATACAAAAATCCACCAATGTAATTCACCATATAAACAAATTGTAAAAGAAAAAACACATGATCATCTCATTGGATGCTGAAAAAGCCTTTGACAAAATCCAACACCCCTTCTTGATAAAGGTCTTGGAGAGATCAGGGATAACAGGAACATACCTAAACATAATAAAAGCAACTGAGCAGCCAACTTCAAAGTAAATGGAGAGAAACTCAAGGAGATTCCTCTAAAATCAGGAGCAAGACAAGGCTGTCCACTCTCTCCATACTGATCAATAATGTGCTTGAAGTTCTTGCTAGAGCAATAAGACAAAAAGCGGAGATCAAGGGGATACAAATTGGAAAGGAAGAAGTCAAACTTTCACTATTTGCAGATGATATGATAGTCTATGTAAGTGGCCCAAAGAATTCTACCAGGGAACTCCTACAATGGATAAACACCTTCAGCAACGTAGCAGGATACAAACTTAACTCAAAAAAAAAAAAGCAGTACCCCTACTATATATAGACAATAAAGGGTCCGAGAAAGAAATCAGAGAAACATCACCCTTTTCCAGAGCCACAAACAACATAAAATATCTTGGAGTCACTCTAACCAAGCAGGCGAAAGACCTGTATGACAAGAACTTTGAGTCTTTAAAGAAAGAAATTAAAGAAGATATGAGAAAATGGAAAGATCTCCCATGCTCTTGGACAGGTAGGATCAACATAGTAAAAATAGCAATCTTACCAAAAGCAATGTGCATATTCAATGCAATCCCTAACAAAATCCCAGCACAATTCTTCACAGACCTTGAAAGGACAATCCTCAACTTTATATGGAAAAACAAAAGACCCAGGATAGCTAAGACAACCTTACTATAGAGCTATAGTTCTGAAAACAGCTTGGTATTGGCACAAAATTAGACAGGGTCTAATTGAAGACCCTGATATTAACCCACACACCTTTGAACACCTGATCTTTGGCAAAGAAGCTAAAACTATACAATGGAGAAAAGAACCCATCTTCAACAAATGGTGCTGGCATAACTGGACACTGGCATGTAAAAGACTGCAGATAGATCCATACCTACCACCATGCACAAAACATAAATCCAACCACATTGAAACTCTTAGAAGAGAAAGTAGGAGGTACCCTTCAATGAATTGGTACAGGAGACCGCTTCCTGAACATAACACCAGTAGCACAGACACTGAGACCGACAATTAGTAAATGGCACCTCCTGAAACTGAGAAGCTTCTGTAAGGCAAAGGGCACAGTCAACAAGACAAAAATGAGAGCCCACAAAATGGGAAAAGATATTCACCAACCCTACATCTGGCAAAGGGTTGATCTCCAAAATTTACAAAGAACTCAAGAA